GTACGTGATGTGTGTTGCTCGATTTGCAGGTATCCTGAGCCGGCTGGACGAGGGAGATCAGCGCGACATGCAGGCTCAGGGCTACCGGATGATCAGCGTGGTGGTGTGCAACCTGTACCCGTTCTCGGAGACGGTGGCCAGGCCGGGCGTCACCGTCCCCGAGGCCATCGAACAGATCGACATCGGTGGGTGGCTAATCAGACGTCGGCGGGTAGCCAACTATCCGTGGGCCGGGTTAACTAGTGTTCATTTTTATGCATTCACATTAGTCGTCGCAGTCAAACCAACTGCAATTGAATAAGTAGCCATGACTGGTGCCGGTTCCGAAATGCAAAGATTAGGTTACGACAAAAAAAGATCCCGAAGAAAAATGACTGAAGAGTGAATTATTTGATAAGGGATGGATAAGAGCGTATAAAATTGAAGATGTCTTGTTCATTAATTCATTTCTATTTCCGTTTTATTCAAATGTTCTCCCGGCATGTTTCTGCCATCAGGGGGCGTCACCTTGCTGCGGGCGGCCGCCAAGAACCACGCTCGGGTGGCGGCCGTGTGTGACCCGGACGACTACGAGGCCGTGCTCGCCGAGGTCAAGGCGTCGCCCAGCGGAGACACCACGCTGGAGACCAGGTCAGTGGGCGGGATGTAGGGGGCAGAGCTGCGCTACTGAGAGGACCTCCCGTGTGACCGGGCCGGTCTGTGCCGGCCGGGTAGCAGTGCCACCGTTGCAACCGGCTGTGCTTAGTTCAACTGGCAGACGCGATCAATTGTCTGACAGGGAACCTTTTTTTCATTGGCATGCCTATATTATAGATCATGTATGCCGTCGTAAATGTCGTTATAGAAAGCAGCTATGTTTTGTAACGCTCCATCCGGCCTGGCGCCCAGTCGACTGCCCCTGTACCGCTGCGGTGACGGTCACCGCCCCCTGCGCCGACAGACAGCGGCTGGCGCTGAAGGCGTTCCTGCACACAGCGCGGTACGACGAGGCCATCTCGCACTACATGTGCCACGAGCTGGCGGAGCCGCCCACTGCCATCACCCTGCGCTACGGCATGAACCCGCACCAGAAGCCGGCGCTGCTGTACGGAGGCGACGGCCACCTGCCGCTGACGGGTGGGTTATATCTATTAGCACCTCAGGCCAGCTGCCGCTCACCGGTGGATTACGGTATCCCACTGCCGCTCACCGGTGGGTTACGTTAACTCACTGCCGCTCACCGGTGGGTTACGGTACCTCACTGCTGCTTATCGGTGGGTTATGTCAGCACCTCAGGCCACCTGCCGCTCACCGGTGGGTTACGTTAACGTCACAACTTACAACTGGCAGTGCCACATCAAAATGCGACCGAACCTGCTCACCAACCGTTTACCCTACCGCACCATTTCCCCGTGCAAGTCAAGGTGGTAAGAGGCGGGCCAACAGATGCGTTCCTATTTGTGACCTGATCCACGGGTTACCTGCCGCCAGTGCTGAACGGCTCTCCAGGCTACATAAACTTGCTGGACGCGCTCAACGGCTTCCAGCTGGTGCGCGAGTTGACCGAGGCCCTGGCGCTGCCGGCGGCCGCCTCGTTCAAACACGTCAGCCCGGCCGGCGCCGCCGTCGGCCTGCCCCTCACCGAGACTGAGGTGAGGAGCCGGGAGGACGGGTTTTCGCAGGAACTGAGGCTAGTTACCGGAAGGTCTGGCTCCGGACAAGACGGTGGTGGGAACCCGGGAGGGTGATTTTTTTCTGGCTAGTTTCCACCGGAGGGTCTGGCCCTCCCAGAGACGGAGGCGAGTCGCCGAATGGAGCAGCTCTCAGAGAGACATTGAGGGCAGTCGCCGTTCGGAATGCATGTGCAGGTACTGTGATTTATCACGGGCGACATCTGAGCCTAGTCGAAAGTTGGGAGGTGTGGTAGCGGCATGGGAAAATCTATAAACCGTTACACCATCGTGTCCCGACCGTCACTGTGTTCCTCCTCTGACAGGCCAAGGTGAACATGGTGTCGGACGTGGCCGACGCACTGACGCCGCTGGCGGCCGCGTATGCACGCGCGCGCGGCGCCGACCGCATGTCGTCGTTCGGCGACTTTGTCTCGCTCTCTGAGCGGTGTGACCTGGCCACGGCGCGCCTGATCGGCCGGGAGGTGAGGACGCGGGGATACGGAGACCCTCAGCTACCCAGCCGGGAAAAACTGTCATGCTATAAAAAATCAAATTATTTGAATGTGGGTATCATGTGAGATTTTTGTTAGTGATATACCAAGCACGACTCCATTCAGAAAATGATTATTGCCGAAATGCCGAGCACTAGGCCTGCACTATCTAATATCATGCTGGGTTCGTTAACTGTGCAGATTGCAATGACAATCTTCCTCCTCTCGCAGGTTTCTGACGGCGTTATTGCTCCCGGCTACACTGATGAAGCTCTTGAGGTTCTGAAGAAGAAGAAAGCTGGAAAGTATTGTGTACTTCAGGTCAGTCTGGCATTCATCGTTAACCCCTTCGCCTCGTTTACGTTGAATTTCTTCGGGATGTCTGAATCGGATTGATGCTGATGGGTAACTATGACTCGCCGAGGAACTGTCTGTTGACATCAATGCTGAGGAGCATTATGCTTTGGAAACTCAGACTACCTTCAGGGACGGACATCATCTGTTCAGTACATGACAGCGCCGGCTGTTCTCAGATGGACCCCGCGTACAAGCCGCCCCCGATGGAGACTCGCACAGTGTACGGCCTGCGGCTGGTGCAGGCGCGCAACGACGCCCTCATCGGCCGGGACATGTTCACCAACGTCGTCTCGGCCAACAAAGAGGTAACGCATGGGAATAGCGTAGGCTCATCAGCCTGCTTTAGCTGTGTACGAACTTAAACATTGAATAACCCATGCCTTGCCCATATGCATGAATAAAAATAGTAACCACAATGCCTTGACTTCCACCCTCTCCTCCCCTCTCGGTCGGCCAGCTGCCGGAGTCGGCCGTGCGGGACCTGATCGTGGCCACCATAGCTCTCAAGTACACCCAGTCGAACAGCGTGTGCTACGCGCGCGACGGTCAGGTGATCGGTCTGGGCGGCGGCCAGCAGTCGCGCATCCACTGCACGCGCCTGGCCGGCGACAAGGCCGACCGCTGGTGGCTACGGCACCACCCGGCCGTGCTCGGACTACGGTTCGTGGCCGGCACCAAGCGCGCCGACGTGGCCAACGCCGTCGACAACTTTGTCGGCGACACGGTCGGCAAGGACATGAGCCGCGCGCAGTTCACGCGGCTGCTGGAGGCGGAGCCGGCCGAGCTGACCGCCGACCAGCGGCGCGACTGGGTCGGCCAGCTGCGCGGCGTGGCCGTCAGCTCGGACGCCTTCTTCCCGTTCGAGGATAACGTGCACCGCGCGCGCCAGGTCAGTACTATTCGCAGATGATTAAAGCTGTTTTGGTAGTAACACGGTATCAGTGTTGGAAATAGAACGGCCCATAGACCTCTGTACACCTCTGTACACGGTGTACAGAGGTCTATGAACGGCCCAAATTGATTTCCTTCCAAATTCTAAAAAAGAACTCGTGCCCTTTTGATCTTCAATTATAGGACGGCGAACTGTCGAGCATTATCTCGCAATGCCCGGAATAAATCGGTCTGCTTTTCCTTTTTCGTACATTGCATTGTCCTATAATAAGTACCATATTACCATCGTTAGAGAATAATTTTGATAATAGAGCGAATCTTCTTATTTTTACGCATAACAAATGCGTATGTACTGATCATGCGTCGTGTCATACTGCCGAAGAGTCCAACTAAATAAACATGTCCCGTATGTGGTGCCGTTCTCTGTTCGTACAATGCCGCCCACGTGAGTAGCCCGTGATCTATCTGACCTCGTCCTGTTTCTGGCCAGTCTGGCGCCGACTACATCGCCGCGCCGGCCGGCTCGGTCAACGACGCGGCGGTCACGGCGGCTGCCGACGCGCACGGGATGGTGATGGTGCACACGGCCACGCGCCTGTTCCACCACTGACCACGCCACAGCCCGGGGACGAGGAGAGTCGACAAAGGACAACGCCGAGTCTCCTACACCAACCAGTGCTGCCCTTTGATGCCCACGGCTGATTACTGGGACGGTCCTGATGGCTGCATTTCGTTACAGTGCTCTGCACCTATTGGCCTTACAGTATTCATCGATGATAAGATGGTAGGTTTCTACTGCCTATCGAATTGTTGATAGCTTATGCGATTGGACATAGGACCGATTCTACCGATATTCCAATAAACCTAAGAATACTTAGCACCGATTGGCGAAAATATCGCCACATTGTAGTTCAATTTCTTACGCAAGCATTGGATATATGTATGACGCTGGGTAGTGTATATGGCATATGCCTCCATTTATAGTGCCATAGCCAATCCACATTGATTTGTATTCTCAGCTCCAGCAGTCACAATCGCGCAGAAATGATGTCCAATTGTCATTCGTGAATAAAGTGGTTTATACTAAACTTATTGTTTTATGAACAACTACAGAGTGAAGATGCTTGCACTAAATCACCTAGGAAAAAATGAACGACTACCTAATGTAACGAATATATTACGAAGGTACGGGTATGACGTCCTGCAAGAATGTGCTTACGATGCCGGGCTGGTATTACGCGATATAATTTTTTATTGTTTATTGCATGTTACGACTTACGATATACCGGGATCGTGTTGACGGGAGGTAGCAGAGCAGGTCCAAAATCGACCGTAGCTACAGTCGCGTAGCTACCTACGCGTAGGTGCCAAACGCGATACTAAGCACTTTACACTCTTCACAGCCGTCAAAAAAGCGGTCTAGCATACTGTCACCAATCAGTATGATTAGGTAACTTTCTCACGATCCACAGTAGAGTAATCGGTACTCGCGACGTGGAAAACCCAACCGGGATTCGAACCCGGGCCCTTTTGCACCGAAGCCGGGCGCCCTAACTGACTGCGCTAAAAGACCAGCTGCCAGATATGACGTCACTGAGCGAAATAACCCATACCTCAACAGCCTCGGGCGAAATTGCTAATCGTACGCTGTAAACAAGACCGACAGTACGGGGCTGGGGTAACCTTGCTTTGTTTCTTGCTTACAGAGGGTTCGAGTGGGCAGTGGATAGCAGTTTGAAGACCATTCCAGGTTGTAATCAAATGAAATGGGCAGAAACAGGAATGATTCTTCGGGGAGCGGAGGCGGCCGCGCGCACTTCACGCCGATCGACACCTACAGGAAGCAAATAGGTGGGTTTCGGACGTAATTTAAGGCGACACACATTCAGCCACTATGGCCAGGCTCACTGTAACAGGCCCCAGAAACTGGGAGAGAGGGGAAGTGAATAAATGCCAAGCACTTGCCCCAAGGCCAACCACTCTGTTGTGCAATGCAATGTTTACCCTGCTGATGGCAAAGTGTATCACATAGGGACTAGGGTGAAAGATAAGGTGACAATGATCAAACAATCATCTGAAAAAGAAATACTGCTGGATTAATTAGCTCCTTTATATGGGCGTTTAGCACGTATGTTTATACTGCTCAAGATACCGCAAAATGAAACTCAAGGTCATTGTGCTACCATATATGACGTCACGATCGAAGTATCGATGCTTGTAACGTGTTTTCTATCGACGTGCGGGATTAGTTCCTGGAAGCAAGATGTGAGTTCAGGACTCGGGCCACTCGGGCCCCAACGCCCCATTGTCAGCGAGCTAGCGACGCTCGTCCTACATTCTACAAAGTCGAATCCTACCGGGACTTTTTCACGTGCGTGAAGATAGCGACGTATTCAGCGACGGATTCTTCGTCGGATTCAGAATTCGCTGAAAACTCGTTACCAGGTCAAGCAGGACACGCTGATTCCAAAAAAATGACATAAAACACATTTGTGTGAGGTCATCTTCAAGGTCAGATTTGAAGTCAAAGAACGGGGTACCCAATAACGTCCCGAGAGGACCGAAACTGGTCATACATGATACCGCTCGTCACCGTGGGCAGCCTCCGTGACCATGACCTTGACTTTGAACTTTTACTTCAAGGTCAAATTTGAGTTCAAACAACGGGGTACCGGATAACGTCCCGAATTTATGGAAGAAGCGGGCTAAAAACGGTCCCAAACGACGGCCAGCATCGTTGGCTAGCCTCCGCTACCCTGACCTTGGCTCTAGCCCTTGACCTCACTGGCGGTCGCAGCCGCTAGCAAAAGGGGGGGGGGGGGGGGCCAAAGTCACACTCGCGGGACATAACATTTGTCCGTCACCGGGAGGGGGTGGGGAGGGGGAATCGGCTAATTTTTTTACGTCCACGAGGTGCCATGCAGTTGGCATTACTTATGCTTCATCCATCTGATTCTTGCGTGAAATCTTTAAGCTCAATTTAAGGCAAAATCACCAGTTCCATTTCCCGTCCCACGGTGCTTCCACCGGTCGGGCCACTGCACCATGACGACGGATCGGTGTAGCATAGGTATGCTGGAAGGTCAGGCACGCGGATTCATGACCTTACCACTATAAAACAATTCGGAAAAGTACAGATACCTCTTGCTTTGAACAAGCATGTGAAACCCAGAGAGCATTTTCAGACTATGACATTTACCCATATAGGTAACATACCTAGTTATGTGGCGGCGGGAGAGAGTAGGTACACCGACCTCTGGAGACCCCCTACAGGTTCCGAGCTTTCAAAATTGGCATCTGAGGGCCGCGCGTGACTCCTGCGGGGCTTCGCAACGGCTCTATTGGGGCTCACTCAACCTGCCTAGTCTTACTGCTAAAAAGACTGGCCCTGAGCCCTAAGGACTTCATCAGTCTCTGCCAGCCCCAGGACCCACACCGGCTCATGGGGTCCCGACGTCGAAATATGAGGGAATCTGCGCGGGACCATCAGGACGTAAAGTAATCTCAATCAGGACCAACGTAAGGCTGTGCCGGAGACTGCGTGAGCCCTCTGATCTTCAGAAACCCACCCATATATGTTTTCACTTAGAGGCCAGTTTAGGGCCCTCAGAGACCAGTACAGGGCCTGCAAACTACAAAGGCCAGTAGTTTGAGACAATCAGTGACCGAGTTGGGCTCTCAGAGGCTAATGTGGGTCATTACAGGCCAACATGGGCCCTCAGAGGTCAGCGTGGGGCCCTAAAAGACCGGCATGAGCCGTCGTTGGACCCCAGAGGCCAGCAGAGGGCCCTCAAAGGCCAAGATGGGCCCTCCTCAGAGGCCAATGCAGGCCCTTAGAGGCCGGCACCGGGTCTTCAGCAGCCAGTGCGGGGCCCTCATTCATCATTGGCACCTAAAGGTTCGTCTTGGGACACCACAGACAGAAATAAGGCCACCAGAGACCGGTGTGAGACCCTCAGACGCCGGTTGGGACCCCTGAGGCCGGTTAGGGGCCCTCATAGGCCAGATGTGGGGTCTCAGAGGTTGATGTAGGCTCTTAGCGGTCAACGTGGGCGCTTGACCGCCACTGAAGTTCCCTCAGAGGTCAGTGTAGGACGCTCAAAGACCGGTGTGGGAGCTATATTAATAGCTGGATGTGGGTTTTTTGAGCCTCGTGACGATCAAATAATTGCCAGGGCCCCATACACCTATATGGGGGCCCATTGGTTGTTTGAGGGGGGGGGGGGGCAAATGATATGATGGCCCCCTTTATTGACCTTTGGGGGGGGGGCATGGCCCTGATGCCCCCCCCCCCCGCGACCGCCACTGTGTACACATTACACACATGCCTCTGAGATTACATACTAGCTCATGCAAACTCTATGCAGGCCCCGGAGTTCCCACGCTAATCCTTAAGAAACCAAGCCGGCATACGGCGTCACCACCGGGCTTCTGAGGTGCACAGCACCAACCCATGAGGTCTTACTTTAGTGTCTTAGAGCCAATCTCCTTTAGCAGGGCCCACCCACCACTGCCGAAGAGGGTCTCATGCCAGCCATTGCTGGGCCTACGAGAGCCTCAAGTAAACCCACGCTGATATTCCATATAAGATCCGGCCATACTCGTGAACCGGTGCCAGCGACGCTGACCGCCAAATTGACAGAATGCGAAACTGAGCCCACTCATGAGTGAAATTTACGTCCTTTGATGGCGCAAGAAAGAAAATGAAACATACGAAAAGCTTTTCTAGGACTTTTGCTCGATCTGAAAGGTGGGGCCAAAAGATAGTATGGCCCCACCTTTCAGCACCAAAGGGGGGCCATGGCCCCCGTGGCCCCCCCTGGGACCGCCAGTGCTTGACCTTCAAGGTCAAACACAAGGTCAAAGATAGGTATCATTTCCAAAGAAGGAGTAGGGCGAAATGTGAAAAAGTTGATCTGCCACGTCTCAAACAACCATTCCAGTGGATGCTTGTCCGCTTGGGCTACATTTTATTCTCCTTGACCTTGACCCTAATGCTTGACCTTAGAGGTCAAACTCCAGGTCAAAGGACGAGTTACCCAATAACGACCCGATGCCCCAAGAGGACCGAAAGTGGGCAATGGTCATAGGGGAGAGTGGTGCAGGAGGCCCCCCCTTCAGCTCAGTTGCTATTTTTAGACAACTGATAATATTTAAGAGCTAACGTGTGCATGCGCTGTGAGCATGCATCATTTTCCCATACATATTTGCATTCAAAATGAATCTAGGGGGTACACAAACCGTAAACTTTAACATTTTGGAAAAAGTTGCAAAAGGGCCTCTTACACTATGGGTATGGTAAGACGCCCCCCCCCCCCTCGGGCGTTTAACAAGGCAAGTCGACTTGTAAAAGACGTTTTGCGAACACAGCTGCAAGGCCTTTTATTTCGAAAAGCTAAGCAAATACGGTGTTATCGAAACTAATAACACTTCCAAAGCGCTCGAACAATGCGAAAACTAGCACAACCAAACGCTGATGACCAACGAAAATTGTACCTATTACCTCTAGAAAAAGAAACAGAAAAAAAGAAACAAAAACAAACTTCTTGAAAAAAGAATGCCACGCCTGCCGCAGGTGCAGGCGTTTTAGCATCGGGGGCGTTTTTTATCGGGGGGGGGGGGGGGGGGCGTTTTATAATCCTCGAAGGGAGGGCCTCTTAAAAAAATGCAGTGTTTTAACGTCACAATATTTATGGTTTATGAGACATTTGCAGCGCACCAGAACATGGTCTATTCTGAAGCTAACATGTGACAATTTCGATGAGATAAGATTGCATTTGATAGTCATTGTTTTTTTCAGATATATAAGGGTGATAAAGATGCATATATCTAGCAAGTAAAGGGGCAAAAACAGAAACAGGCTTACCAAAAGTCGCTGCGACGCACCTGATACCTCAGGTTTCGTGAGTTGTTGTTTCAAGAGGGCTTCTGCTTTACAAGAACATTAAAAAATAAATAACATTATTGGTTTAGTAAAAAAAGCGATGGGGCCTCTTACCGACCCTGGGCGTCTTACACGGATCTCCCCTACATGATAGCTCGTCACCGTGGGCAGCCTCCGTGACCATGACCTTGACCTTGAACCTTGACCTCCAAGGTCAAATTTGAGGTCAAACGACGGGGTACCGGATAAAGTCCCGAATTTATTGAAGGAGCGGGCCAAAATGGTCTCAAATGGTCCGGAGGCTAGCCTCGTTGGCTAGCCTCCGCTACGCTGACCTTGGCCAAGGTCAAGGTCATGGTCACGGAGGCTGCCCACGGTGACGAGCTATCATGTATGACCGCTTTTGGTCCTCTCAGGGCAATAATTCGGGACGTTATGGGTACCCCGTCCTTTGACCTGGGGTTTGATCTCTAAGGTAAAGCATAAGGGTCAAGGTCAACGAGAATAAAATGTAGCCCAAGCGGACAAGCATCCACTGGAATGGTTGTTTCAATGAACACTGGCCAATTTAAGGCACTGGTCATTCGGAGCACTGGACAAATCATACCCTGGACATTATGAACCCTGGCCTATGAATAATACGCACCCACTTTAACCCTCGCCGGCCGAGGGGGAGGGCGGGTGCCCCCCCCCCCATAGGATTTCTTTTTTTTCGCGATAGCTCCGAACACGCTGGCGATAGAGAGCTGAAACTTGGCATACCTGACCTTTGAGTCAAGCCGAATCTTTTGAGTCCCAGTGCTGCCAGATGGGGAAGGCTGTAATCCTCCATATCAGTTACAAAAATCCTCCAGATTCCTCCAAATCCTATTGGTAGATATAGAAAGGCGGTCTTGGACGCTGCGGGGGGCTATAACCCCAAAAAAGTTTCACCAAATTCTAAAAACTCATCGGATTTTGAATCCTT